TCATCCATTACAGGGAGAGTGGGGTCAAAGAGGCTGTGAGCCACCTTTGTGCCTCCCTGGCACTGTACTGCTTTGCTAGAATGGGCTCTTAATTGTATATGTGGTATGAGTATAATTTGTACAGTAAATATTACTATCTCTGCTTATTTTAGTTGAACACCTTGGAACAAACCAATTCTTCAGTGGCAGTAAGAAGCAAACAAGCAACAAAATTTCCTTATAATGACTGTAAGTACTCTGAATATATAAATATTGAACAAATGGTAGGCAAGGTTCTTTGATTAGATATGATATATTTTATTAGACCAACTGAGTAGTTGGAAAAAAGGTTGTTCACAAGCTTTCAGGTATAATCACCATGGTAAACATTATTTAGCAAAAGAAACTCCTTTCACTCAAGTCTAACTCATTTCTGTTTCTTCTCTGTCTGTATCTACAATGATGAGTTAGAACTGAGGAGGAGGAGGAACCTGTGATGAACTCATAAGTAAGCTACAGAAGTATGGGTTGGATGAAGGGACTGTAAGGTGGATAGAAAACTGGCTGGATCTTTGGGCTCAGAGGGTAGTAATCTTTTGGCAGCTGGTATCAAGTGGAGTGCCCCAGGGGTTGGTCCTGGGGCTGGTTTTGTTCAATATTTTCATCAGTGACTTGAAAGATGGGATGGAGTGCACCATCAGCAAGTTTACAGATGACACCAAGCTGGGGGGAGTAGTAGATGCACCGGAGGGTAGCGCTTGGATTCAGAGAGACCTCAACAAATTGAAGGATGAGGCCAAAAGAAATCTCATGAGATTCAATAAGGACAAGTGCAAAGTCCTCCACTTAGGATGGAACAATTACATTACAGCCTGGGGATCGATTGGCTAAGAAGCAGCTCTACAGAGAAGGACCTGAGGGTTATAGTAGACAATAAGATAAATATGAGCCAACAGTGTGCCCTTGTTGCAAAGAAGGGTAATGGCATATTGGGCTGCATTAGTAGTAGGAGTTGCCAACAGATCCAGGGAAGTGAATATTCCCCTCTTCAGCACTGGTGAGTCCACATCTGGAGTACTGTGTCCAGTTTTGGGTCCCTCCCTACAGAAAGGATGTAGACAAGTTGGAGAGAGTCTAGTGGAGAGCATGACTTCTGAGGAGAGGCTGAGGGAACTGGGCTTATTTAATCTGCAGAAGAGAAGACTAAGGGGGGATTTAACAGCAGCCTTCAACTACCTGAACAGAGAGGTTGTGGAACCTCCCTTCTCAGTGGTTTTTAAGGCCTGGCTAGACAAAGCCTTGGGTGGGATGATCTAGCTGGCGATGACTCTGCTTTGAGCAGCAGATTGGACTAGATGACCTCCTGAGGTCCCTTCCAACCCTAATTTTTTATGATTCTATGGTACTATTAACCTGTAACCATCATTCACTTGGCCAGTTTTCCTCAATATTCCAATTTAAAACACAGGGATCACTTACTGGCCCAATTTTGATGGACTTACTCGCAGTCAGTATTACCTTAGACCCTTTTTCATTAAGCCGTCTAGTGGTGCTGACACTCTGCACTGATAAATCTAAAATTTTGGTGGGTACTACAATAGACAGAATTTTTAAAAGCGTTTTTTCTACAAATACTTGACCATATACACATTCTTAATACTGAGTTTTTCCCATACTAGGAGTCTTTGGCTAGAGCCTGTTTGCCTTGGCAGTACCTATAGTCTGGAATCAGTTTTGGCAATGGCATGGTCAGCACTGGCTTGGTGCATGTTCCATTCCAGAGACAGATCTCCTCTGAGTATTCCTCAGCACTTGGCCCTTCTTCTTTAGACCTGTTTAGTCCCCATTACAAAGGGGAAGGGGAAGGTTTATGGAATCTTGTGAATCTTCATTTCCCTCTGAGGGTGCCCTATCTCCATCTTTTTGAAGATCCTGGAAAATTCCAAGAGCTGTTGTATGGTTTGGCACATCCTGACATCCTGCCCTCCTACTGACAAGCAGGCAGGTAGAAAATATAGGGTTCTCCCCAGGAAAGCCAAATGTTTTCATCACAAGTGTTTGTGTTTGCCAATGAAAAGGGCAGAGCAGGGGTGTCAGTCACTTGGCCCTCTAGGCTGTATGTGGACCATGGGACTCCTCACAGCCTGGAACTGGACCATAATTTAAACCTGTTTAAATGAGGGAAAATCCGTCATTATTTATCTCACAGTGAAAGCACAATAAGAGCGGGTGCATGAAACAGTTACAGCATATAGCTGTCCTCATCTTCAGTCGCCTGGATTTGGGGATGATCCTGCAAAAGCATTTAAAAATCATTCTAACATTCTACCTGAGGAAATGCTAATCAAAGGATTCCTGATGTTGCAGTGAGTGTAGATATGAATCAGTACTCCAATTTTTGACATGAAGGTTTAGCTACGCTCCCTGTAATGTCATCTGCACATCTATGGCACATGTGTGGTCTGGGACTTCAACCAGGTTGTATCCAGTGCTAGCTATATCAATGGTATCTCTTATTCATGCAACCCTTCCCCTTCACCCTTCCCCACCAAAAAAAAAAGAGTGGTCTTATGGGATTGGATTAGTGGTCCATCAAATCAAGCGTACCATTTACAACAGTAACAACAGTATAGTACCATCTGCTTCAGAAGAAGGCATGAAATACCATGTGGCAAACAATCCTGGTATTCTCAAAATAATTCTTCTCCTGCCTTACATTAGAGGTTGGCTTGTGCTTGCAGCATGAGAAACAAGGACGAGTAATCAAATAATTTTTCTGGCAATGAAAATAATTTCCAGGACAGCAAAGAAACTTCTGTCTCTCAAGACAATTAATGTTAGAAGTTACAGAAAAGAGAAATAGGAAAAATTGCAGTTCTCTTTGCCCTAGTGCCCTAGCATCCATTTGAGTTTGTAGATAGTAAGGGAATCTCCACAACAGAAAACACTAGTCCCTTTGAAGCAGGAACTCCTTCATCCAACCTGGAAGCACCTACACTAATGGCCTAGACATCAGAAGAGAAGCACAGCATGGATTCTTCATTAGCATCTGAAAGTTTTTGGCATCCAGCCTGAAATCCACCAGGTGCAGGAATTAAATTTTTTTTTGAAAAATTTACATTTTTGGCACCAAGTGAAACAAAAAGCTCTTTATGGCAAGGATAACTACTTCCTGACTGGCACAGTAATGGCCTGAGTTATAAATGTTACTGTAATACAGACATGAACAACACGTGCCCCTGGAGCCTGGGGGGGCATGATGACCACCCACAGGTGGCTGTGTCAGCGGCAGGGGCATGGTGACAATGAGCAGGGGCCATCTGCAGGTGGCTGCAGTGAGGGCGGGTCAAACGGGGAGTGCCCACAAGCAGCCGCAGCAGTTGGCAGCAGGGGGTGGGTGGCAAGCAGTGGGCAGCAAATGGGGACCTCCCACAACTGCTGTCTGCACTGTAGGCAGCAGTGAATGGGGACCACCCACAGCCGCTGGTGGCTGTGGGGGAGTGGCAACCACCTGCAGAAGCTGGCAGCGGCATCGGTGGCAGCAATCTTGGGGGTACGTGCCCCCCGTACCCTCCTTGCACGTTGCCTATGAATTGTACAAACAATTGGTGATATTAGCTAAATTAAAATTTCTCCAGAATGACTGACCAGCCACCACAGAAAAATATTTACAAGCCTTATTGGCATTCTGCAGAAAGGACTATGACATTCCATCTGAGCATTGTCAGGTACCAAAATTTAATCCAAGTGACAGATTAGATAAGCCTATGCCTGGACTTTCTAAACACTGTTATACTATCTATAAAAGTCTCTATGACACGATCTATAAAACAATCAAACTGATGCTGTCATGAAAAAGTTATCACTAGAGCTTTAGAAACATCTTTGAAGCTAAGTTGTTGCTTCCCCAATTCCTGAGAAATTGTTTCCCATTATTTTTCTGTATCTCTGTAATACTCAGAGGGCACTCCTAAATGTGCCTTTAAGCACAACTAAATTTAATGCGCATTAAATTAATGCTCATTGCACAATTTTTGGCAGGTGTCTACACATGCAGGAACTTGGCACTAAAGTTAGTCCCGACTCCCTGCAGCCCTGCCATGTGCCCCTAGCGCAGGGACGGGCAAAATACGGCCCACAGACCAGATCCAGCCCACCAGGCCATTATATCTGGTCCGCAGAGCCCCTAAAATATTTACTAATTAATATTTATTTGCCCTGCCTCCCTGTCAAAGCTGGCTAGAGCCAGGGGCAGTAGGACCCAGAGGGAGCACTCAGCAGGCTTGAGCAGCCCAGCCCCGCCCACCTTCAGCCAGTTCCCTGCTTTCCTGCCACTGCCTTGCTCCATGTGGCTGTGGCTCCTGGCTGCATCCCCCAACCACAGAGCATGGGACCGGGCTGGTAAGGGGTGGGGGTGTGTGTGTGTGTGCATGTGCGCACGCGCAGGCACAGGGGCAGAGTGTGTGTGTCTGTGTCTGTGTGTTCATAGGGTGAGTCCCACACCCCCCCCTCCATACACATGCACCTACTCCTCCCCTCACACTGCCATACACAAACCTCAGCAACCCTCCCCCCATAGCCACCCACACCCCACATACTCACACACCCACAACTCCCACAAACCTAAACCCACCTCACATGATATACAAGAATAAGATTTCATTTTAAGCTACTGTGCAGTCACCTCTGTATTTACTACACAAACACATGTAAATCAGGACAAAATATTGTTAAAAATCAAATTAATAAATGTTGTAGATGATCATTTTTTAGAATATAATTTGGTATTTTTCTGGTTCTGAGATGGCAAAACCCCTTGCTGAAAGGAGTACTTCTGGGGGCAAGGGGAGGGACTTCTGGTGGCAAAGGTCAGGGGTTAGAAGGTAGAACTTCTGGTCCCAAGACGGTGACCAGGAGGCAGGGCACCTGTCAAGGGGCAGGGCTACCCATGGGGCCCTTGACAGCTTGCCAAAACTCGATAAGTGGCCCTCTGCCCAAAATAATTGCCCGCCTGTACCCTAGTGGCTGGGCAGACCCAACACTAATGTTAGTGCCGGGTCATGTCAACACATGCGCTAATGCGCTTTGACTAATCATGCCTAAATTTGATGCGTGCATTTGCAGGTACTAAATTTAGGTGCAGTTAGCCTAATTTCACCATTTTTAATGTGCATTAAGGGTGCACATGTGTAGATGTGTGCCCATAATGTGTATTAAATTAAGCTAACGCTCATTAACACATCATGTGTAGATACGCCCAGACTGTGGCTTCTAAGCCACAAGTATCTCTCCAACTATGTCTCTTTACAGAAAATATTACCTTGTGCATGCATTTAAAAATAATTGTATGCCTTTCCTACAGCGAATCTTGGGGTGTAAATATTGCTGTGGCTCTTTCGTTAATGCTATCTCCTCATGTAGCTCCTAAACTAGTTAATACTGAGTGCTATGATTCTATCCACAGAATTCTCTTGGATGATTGTGGCATAAATAGACAATCCTAGCACTCTAAAGACAGATCGCGTGTACATGGAATATGTGCATTAGTTGCACCCTCTTCATCCTCTTCCATCTAAAATACCAGAGCTTTGTGGCTTCAGAGCTGCTGCAGGCAAGATGTTAAAATCCTGTACCAGCTGGCATGCTAGGCATCACAGATGCCTTTAGGAATACTGTTGGAAAACATTTGTAAGCCTCATCTGAAGAAATTTTGCCTTTAGTGGTAAATGATATCAGAAGCTGATAAAAGGAGAAATTTCCTTTTTTTATTTTTTATTTTTTGGCAAAAAGTATAAAATAAAAGGAAGAACAAAAGAGTCCTCAGTTTCCAGATGTTTGCATTAAAGTGGTATTAAATAACTGATTTTTCTAACAAGGATAATTGTCTTCCTTACATCCTCCACAGTTGAAGGCTTGTATATGGGTATATTTTCTTTTACGTAAACACGTATCAGTAGCTGTCAAGTTTTATTTCATAAGTACATAAGAACTGTCTTTTACTGGGTCAAACCATAGGTCCATCTTGCCCAGCATCCTATGTCACACAGTGGCAAAGAGTGGATGCTGAAAAGGAGAACTCTTATACTCCCAAGTTCTTTGTCCAAGCTTCTACTTCCTGTAAGCTTCCTTTCTGGTTTAAGCTCACTGAAGAGTTCTCTGCTAAGCCAGGCTGGTCACTTGCCATTTACTATTCTTCCTGTACATTGGGATGGTTTGTTCAAAACACAGCCAACTCTCCTGGATTCCTTTCCCCCTTAGATTGGCTTCCCAGGGGATCTTGTCCATCCATTCCCTGAGGGAGTCAAAGTCTGCTTTTCTGAAATCCAGGGTCCATACTCTGCTGCTCCCCTTTCTTCCTTTGGTCAGGATCCTGAACTCAGTCATCTCATGGTCACTGCTGCCCAACTTGCCATCCACTTCTACATCCCCCACCAATTCTTTCCTGTTTTGTGAGCAGTAGATCAAGAAAAGCATGGCTCCTAGTTGGTCTCTCCAACACTTCCACTAGGAATTTGTCTCCAGCACTCTCCAAAAATTTCCTGGTTTCCTGTGCACTGCTTCCTGCTTGCATTGCCCTCGCAGCAGATGTCAAGGTGATTGATGTCCCCCATGAGAACCGGAGCCTCTTATCTGGAAACTTCTGCTAATTGTCTGAAGAAAGCTTCATCCTCATGTACCTCATCCTCCTGGTCTGATGGCCTGTAACAGACATCCACCATAACATCACCCTTGTTGTTCTCCCCTCTAACTTTAACCCAGGGACTTTCAACATGTTATCTCCATTTTCATACTGGAGCTCTGAGCAATCATATGGCTCTTGTACATAAAGTGAAACTCCTTCTCCTCTTCTCCCCTGCCTGTCATTCCTGAACAGTTTGTACCTATCCATGACAGTGCTCCAGTCATGCGAGCTATCCCACAAAGTCTCTGCTACTCCAATCACATCACAGTTCCTTGACTGTGCAAGGACTTCCAAGGCTTCCTGCTTGTTCCTCAGGCTCCATGCATTTGTGTACAGACACCTGAGCTGATTAGCTGATTGCCCTGTTTTCTCAGGAAGAATGAGGCCTCCCCAGCTGCCCCCTCCTGCTTCTGTTTCCTCCAGGTCCCCAACTTCCCCACCTACCTCAAGGCTTTGTTCTCCATCCCCTAGTGAACCTAGTTTAAAGCCCTCTTCACTAGGTTAGCAAACCTATCTGCTCTTCCTTCTGTTTGTCAGGTGGATCCCATCTCTTCCTAACAAGCCTTCTTCTTGGAACAACATCCTGTGGTCAAAGAAGCTGAATCTCTGGTGGCAACACAACTTGTGCAGCCATGGATTGATCTGCAGGATGCATCCACTCCTGCCAGGGCCCTTTCTCTTGACTGGAAGGATTGAGAAGAACACCACCTGTGACCCCGTCCTGTTCACCCTTGTACCAAGAGCTGTGTAGTCACTCTGGGTCTGCTCAGGGTCACCCCTAGCAGTATCATTGGTGCCCACATGGATAAGCAGCATAGGGTAGTAGTCAGGAGGTTGGACGAGTCTCAGTAATCCTTCTATGACATCACAGATCTGGGCTCCAGGGAAGCAGCAGACCTCCTGGGACAACAGGTCAGGTTTGCAGATGGATTTCTCCATCCCACACAAAAGAGAGTCTCCAACCACCACCACCCATCTCATCCTCTTCGTGGCAGTGGTCTCGATCCTCCCCACCTTGGGGATTCCTGGCCTCGCCTCTTCCACCAATAGAATGTACTCCTCCTCCTCTGTTACTAGTGCTCTATATCTGTTCTCCAGGCAAACTACTGCACATGGGGATGATGACTTCTTGCTGCCAGAAGTTACAAGCTTCCAGCTTCCACCTTTCTGGAAGTCCACGCCCTCTTACACATGTACACATATACATGTCCATTGTAGTTGACTCTCAGTATACATAGATGTATCTTTCACAGTTTCCATGCTTAGGACCTGGTATCAAGTGGAAACCTCTACCATGGTGGAACTCCTCCTGTCCTCCTCTTTGTGATGGACACAGACTGCTAATCATCTTCCTTCAGTGCACATAATATGTCTTCTCATCCTTTTGCATCAGCTGTTAATCATGAAATCTGATTTTTCTGTCTCTGCTTTCATGACATCCAGTTCCTTTCTTTCTTGAATCTAAAGTAGTGCTGCTTTAAAACCTTTGTAGATGCATCTATATGGTAAACTTGCCAAAATGATTACTTCCTACCCCTTTATGAGGATTGTGCTGCTCTATGTATTACCTTTGTACCAGCTGACAAATTCTGACTCTTGTCAGGCAGAAAACCCAGAGTAAGAATGATGGGTCTTAATAGTGATATTAGGCACTTGTTAAAGGTTTTGTTTGCTTTTTAAGAGACTGTTGTCACGTAAATTGAAACTTTTCACTGAGGCACTTAAATTTGGCACCTTTCCATTATGATGAGTGTCGCCATCCCTCGAACATGACAGGCAACTATAAACAGCATTGTAAAAGTACAGCTTCCCACTACTTTTCTTGTTTATTAAAGAGATGAATGGCTAAGAAGTTTGTAGTTATTACTAATAAATTATGGCACCCAGAAAAGCGCTTGGTTCTCTATAAACATAAAAATCACAGTTCCTTCCTCCACTAATTTTGGCAGTCTCTATGTACTTGACAAAGAAGACAAAAACAAGGTGTAAAAGGAATTGGTAGTGAAAAGATGGGAACAGTTGTAAATGCAGATAATGAGAGTGCTTGGTGATCCTACAGTTCCAGAAATGTAATATCTCATCCAGTGCCTAATGTCCTGATGGAAAATATGTAGGAGAAACGAAATAACAACTGCATACCAGAAAAAACACACACTGGAAATCTATCAAAGACAAAAATACCCAATTTCCTGTGGGTACACACTTCTCACAAGACAACCGCTCTCTCTAGTTTCTCAGTTCTAGTCCTCAAAGGGAATTTGGGGGACTCACCTTTGAAACACCTTTCAAAGACAAGCCTACGAAATTCACTTCATAAATCTATTGGATACAAAAAACCATGGACTAAATATAGGCATTGGATATAAGGCACATTATAACCTGCCTAATATCTGATAGGTAACCTGTCTGTCTGCATTTTACCAGCTGTATTCTATTACCAGTTCAACATCCCCCACTTTTCCCCTACCCCACCTACGTGTCTCGCACCTATTGTCTCCCATGGCCTCTGATCCTCACTGCCATGCATTTACATTTTTACAGACCTGCATTTTGCATATTGGCTTCTATTCTATCTAGGAGAGCACACAAAATACCAGCCGACTCTCTCTATGCCTGAAGAAGGGTATTTTGTACTCAAAAGCTTGCACAGAACAATTTTTCCAACTATTTAGCTGTTATAAAAAAAAGATATCACATTCACCCAAAGAACTCTGTCTGGTGAACCTATACACATTTCAAGGTTTAATTTTTACTAGCCAATTACCTATCAGGAATGGCAGGGGGCATAGGCAGGGACAGAGCGCTGCCACCCAGCACTCTGCGCAGCCACCATCTCCCAGGAGCAGGAGGGGGTGGGAAGCTTGTCCTGCCATCCCCTCCATCCCCCTTGGCCAGTACCCTGTGCCACCACCACCTCCACGGAGCACGGCCAGGGGGGACAACACAGTGCTGGCCTTGCTCCCCCACTCTATCTGCTCTATTGCCACTGCCTCCAAGGAGCAGGGCTGGGAGGGGGAGGGGGTAAGCAGTGTTGGTGTTGCCCCCCAGCTCTGTCCCCTCTGTCCCTGCCATCATGACGGCATGCTACCACTGCTGCCTCCTGTCCGGAACGTTCTCAGAGCACTCTGATGGGTTGTTTCAGTCAGCATTGTGATTGGCTGCCAAGACAACCAGTCAGAGTGCAAATAAAGTGTTACGGGCAGACAGACAGACTAAGGCTTTTATTTTATTATATATTAATATATATAATTTTGTTGCATTTATGACAGTCAAATTGTGAAACAAATGTCTAATGCTTATTTGCAGGTGAAACTAATAATGACTGGCAGTGGATAATCTTGGATGGCCCAGTAGACACAATTTGGATAGAAAACTTAAATACTGTTCTAGATGACACTAGAATGCTCTGTCTTGCTAACAGTGAAAGAATTAACTTGCCATCAAGGATCAGAATGATATTTGAAGTGGATAGTCTCTCTCAGGCTAGCCCTGCTACTGTCAGTAGATGTGCAATGGTTTTTGTGGTAAGGCTTTTTAAAGAAAACAACCATAGATTATTGTTTTAGCTTTGAATTATAATTTATAATTTATTTATAATAATACAGGCAAGCAGCAAAACCCATGCAGCATTGGGTTGCCAAATACCCTTGTACAAGAGTTACCTCTATACCCAAAGATATGGATTGCAAATATTTGAATCCACCTATCACATATGCTGATGGTTGAATGAAGAACTAATTATCCTATGATACTGATAAGAATACAGTGACCTTTATAGTCATGTGTCCAAATACATGTTTGTGTTCAGTCCTGATCCCTTTGAAGACAGAGGCACAAAAAAATCTACTTTATTTAAAGCAGGATCAAACTATATACTTTGTAGAGAACACACACACTTCTGAGAGTTTATGATGAAAAATATATATGGCTCATTTTATTTAATTAATAGGATCCAACTAATCTGGGATGGAAACCGTACGTTAAGACTTGGCTATTGAAGATCTCCAGAATCATTCCACAAAGTGGTGTAAAGGTCCTTGAAAGTTTATTTGAAGTAAGCATGGAAAAAGGCCTAAACTTTTTAGATAGACACAAGAAAATGCAGCCATTTCCTGTTCAGCAGATGGGACTTGTAATGAATCTCTGCAGAATCCTTGGTGCTTTTATTGATATAATGAGAAAAAATGGAGGCTTTGGTCACAGTAAGTAAATATATTTTCAAATTCACCTTAAAATACTCTTTCCTTCCAGGTAGATCTTATTATTTGTGCATATATGGCACATCCAGATAAGCATGGATGCTTGTTTCCCTGGGGACAAGTAGCAACACACTTGGCGGGGGGGTGGCAGGTAACCTCAGGTGGGGTAGGGGAAGCTGGGGCCAGGAACTGTGCTGGTTCCAGTAGCCTTACCTGAGGGCCTTCCAGGGCTGCAGCCATAGCAGGAAGCCTGGTAGGCAGCTGGAGCATGGCTCCGACCAGCTAGGCTCTGATTTGGGGTGTTGCTGCCATGTGAATTGCCCCACTTCTTTTCAGTGTGGGTTTTTCTGACTCTAGGATCTCCTGGTCCAGGACCCCCACCCCCTTCACTGCAAGGTAGCAGTGTAGGGAACATCTGTGTGTGCAGTGTGTGGCACTGCAGATGGGTCTGTGGTGCCACATATTGTATGTCTGCGTTCATCTGGACGTGGCCATAATGACACAGTAATTAATTTGTATAAATACCCAAAGGATATAGACAAACACATTTTAACCACTTTGAGGGAGAGTTGGGCAGCTGCTTAGGAGTGTGCAGAAGTTCTTATGATCTTAGTGTTAGTTTCCATGATCCTGTAGCAGCAGAAGGAAGCTAAATCACCCTAACATTGACCCTGAGGGTGGAAACAGACAGTATCTGATTTCTCATTTATGCCATCTTAAAAAAAATTGTGGCGGCATAAATGTTGATCAAATAGACATCTTTACCCTTTTTTTGCACCACGTGACACCACCCCCAGACTGAGAAACAGTGAATTCAGGGCCTTGTCACATGTTACATTTAGGACATGTTAACTGCACATAAAACACTTGCATCTGAACATTGAAGCAGTAAAACACATGCTAAGTGCTATTGTAGCATAGCAAAATTAGTACTTTTTCTGGTGAGGAGTATCACCAGATCATATTATTTAACATATGTTGAGCTAATGTACAATTGCTTCACAGAGGTAATATGATCAGGAGACTAGTGAAATGGGGGGCTAGGAATGACAAACAGTTATTTGCTGGTCCCAGCCCCACCTCACTGCACCAGAGCTGGTTCAAGACTGGTGATCTGTGGACTCTTGTGAGGTGAAGTCTTGAACCAGTTCTGGTGTGGTGGGGAGGGGGCTAGGACCAACAACAGACTGTTTGTCATTCCTAGCTCCCACAGCACACCAGCATTATCAAAAACTCCAGTGTTTAGAATGTGTTTCATTTAGATCATAGTAAGCATTACTGTGTAACTGCTTAGAAAACTTTTTAAGGGTGGTGTTACACATTAGGACTGGGATATGCTAAAGCTAGGTGGCATTAAAGTTAGCACATTGTGCAAGTAGTCACACGTTAAGAGTTAATAGCCTCTCTGACATGCATTGTTTGGACTTGCTGCTACAGAGCTATCGAGCAGGGCCATGGCTAGGAAATGCATACCAGCTCTCCAGTGGCTCCACCTCTTGTGGCTCTACCTCCAGTGGCTCACCCCCTGCACCCATGTCTTCCCTCCTTTCCCCTGCCTGGGGCTCACCTCCATCTCCCACCAGATCTCTTTCCCAGCTCCCTGCTTACCTGTGGCTGCTAGTGCTGTCTCAGGAGCAAGAGAAGCAGCCCCTGGACAGGGACAAGAGCAAGTGTACTGGGCTCAGCCAGGAAAGCAGTGGCAGTGGGGGGGTTCCCCTTCCCTGCCCCCTTCCAGCATGTTGGGACTACCTGAGGGGAGCAGACAGGAAGGGGGAACCTGTCTACCACTGAACCCAACTCCTGGGTGCTTACCACTAGGGCTGGGCAGGGAGGGGAGCCTGTCCATTTGCTGCCTCTGAGACTCTGGGATTAGCCCAGCCCCTGTGCAACTCCTGGAGTAGGACTGGTGCTTTCCTGTCCCCTGGGCCAGCACCAGCAGCCGCAGGCGAGCAGGGATCTAGAAACTGGGGAAGAGATCCAGGGGAGATGGGGGGTGAGCCCAGAATGGGAGCAGAGGAAGAGGGGAAGGGAGAGATTGTGCCTCTTAACACAGAGGGGAAGGGTAGGGAATTATTACCTTCTATGGGACTCCTTCAGCTTCCAGCTTTCTCCAGTTCTCAGTCCAGGGTGGTAATGCTCCAGAGGATAGATTGTCCGTGTCTGCTGCAACACAAGCTAGAAATAATACTCCTCCCCCCCAAAAGGATTCTCTCTCGGATGCTCAGAGCTCACTTAGTTTGTCTTTTCCTGCCTTAAGTTGAAGATGCTCCCATCTTAAGAGCTCTTGACTTGTGGTATAGGTAACATGTAACAACACCCTAACCCATAGTAATGCTTCCTACAGTGTAAGTGTGATCAGTCTGGCTCGCTATTTTAGAGCTATGTGAGGTATCCATACAGTACTGCATTGTGCTGTGTAGACATATCCTATGCAATGAGCCCTTTGCTCTAAGACACAGTTATTTTTCTGATCCCTTGTTCTTCTGGGGAAGGGAAGTTATTTAACTGCTTCTCTATACCAGCATCAGGTAACTATCACCTCCCTCTTATGAATTATTTTTGTTTGTTTCTTAGATTTTCAATGATTTCCTTAATTACCAGGCCATGAGCTTTCTTCTCTATGTATTGCCTGAATCTTAGGTTTCAGGCCATGAGCTTTCTTCTCTATGTATTGTCTTATCTTAAGGTTCTCTGTGCTTGGTTTATTTGATTTTATAGCTGGATTTTTGAGGTCATCACTTCAAGTTTGGTTCATAATACTTTTAGTGCTGTGATTTGACTCAGAGCTTTCATTAAAGGATGAAAGCACCAAACTCCTGACCAACCTTATACTTCTATTCCACCTACTAAGCTTATAAGTGGACTTGAGCACCTAAGTTCTGCCCTATTCAACCTTACTTGAGTCCCTGAAAAACTGTTAATATGAAAGGTGGGTAGGTCTAGGTCCTGCACAAGGATTTTTGCCATCCTAGGCAAACAAAATTTTGTTGCCCTCCCTCCCACAGGCAGGATGGGTGCATGCAACTCCTGCCCCAGTGCTGCCCTCTCATGCACAGGGAAACACCATGCGAGACAAACTCTTGAGCTGCATGTGGGCACAGGAGCCTGTTAGCAGTGCAGCTCCCTTCCCCTCATCTTGCATGAGGCACAAAGGGATGGGGCTTCAAGACAAAAGGAGGCAAGAGAGGAGGCCCACTGTCTGCCATGCCTCTGGCTACTGCAGGAAGCCGCCTGTCTGGGAAATGCAGGCCTCCACTCCCACTGGTCTACCCCACCTCAGAGCCTTGAAGAAAAGTGAGTTACACATGTACACAGAGGGCACATCTACTTGAGCACTTTACTGTGTATTAAACTAATCTAATGCGCAGTGACGCATCACTGTCTACACGTGCACAGAAGTTACCGGACAGTAGATGAATGTAAAGTGCTGTTTGTTAGTACTGACTGATACAGGTACTAGCCAACAGCAGTTTATGTTAACGTGCCTGAATGCAGGTATAGATGTTGAACCCAGAGCAAATCGCTCCTAGTCAGCCCAGGAAGCAAGGGGCCTCAAATGCTGTTCCTCTTAGCCCCAAGCTCTTGGGGGTGGAGGAGGAGTTGACCCTGGTTCTGGGGGGAGGCGAGGAAGGCAAGAGGATCACAGGGGAGGTGTGACTAGTGGAAGCAATCAAGGATCCTAAGAGGCTTGGGGGTGGGGTGCATCCCCATACAGTAGAGTCACCTTGGGGGAGTGCAGGCTGGGGGGATGCACCCTATTCAATAGAGCCACTTTGGGCAGGATGCATCCCTATGCAATGGAGCTGCTGGGGAGGGGGGGTGCAGGCTGATGGGGGGGAGGTATGCTGGGGGTGTGCATCCCATTTTCTCCTGCAGCTAGAGGCATCCTGACCCGTGTACCTGCAGGTGCCAGCTGCTGAAATGCTACTGACTGCAAGCCTGGCCAGCAAGAACTATGACTACAACTCGATGCAGCCCTACCCCCCTGCTGTCACCCAGCTGCCATGCCATATTCCCATCTACCACTAACTACCTGGAGATGGTGATGGAGCTGCTGGACAGCCATGTGGTGAACCAGAGCTTTATCTCCAACCCTGATGACAAGCTGTTCACCAAGTCCGTCATCATCTAGGACTGCCAAGAAGCTGCTCCACTTGCAATCCTGGATGATGATGGATTTGGGAAAGGCTTTGTCATTGGGGTAACAGATGTTGCGATCCAGGAGCTCCATCGCCATCTGCAGGCAGTTAGCAGCGGACAGGAAGATAGCACAGCCGCTGGACAACAGCAGTGACTTGGGCAGCAACTCAAACTTCTTCCAAATGTCTACAGCTGCAGCTTACTGTGCCACCAGGTAGAAGTTCCCCTCCTCCTCCTCAAATTAGAAGTAGGGCTGCACTGAATTGTAGTCATAGTCTTAGTTCTTGCTGACCAGGTTTGTGGTCAGTAACATTGCAGCAGCTGGCACCTATAGTGCACATGGGTCATGATGCTTCCAGCTGTGGGGGAAAGCAGAGTACACTCCCTAGCCTTGTGCTCCCCTGCCCCTAGGTGGCTCCATTGCATAAGTATGCACCCCTCCCCCAAGCAGCTGTATTGCATGGGGTGCATCCCTCCAGCCTGCACCCTCCCCAAGACAACTCTATTGCATGGGGATGCATCCCTTGCCCCAGCCTCTCAGAAGCCTCGATTGCCTTCACTAGGTGCACCTTCCCCAGGATCCTCTTGCCTTCCCCACCTTCCCTCTCTCCTCTTCCAGCTGCAGGACAAGCTGCGCCCCCTGACAAGGACCCCTCACCCCCCAGGGGTGAAAGGGAAAAGAAACAGAAGGGAAAGAAACATCTGGGCAGAGGCGGCCCCATAGTAGCTGTGGCTGCCCAGCTCCAAGGATCAAATGAGGAAAGCCAGGAAAACTCCCTCCCTTTGTCCTGGCTGGCTGCAACCCACTCCCCCAACTCAGCACTTCTTTCCCCTGCTGCAATACTTCAAGGTGTCTGGAGCAACACAAGGGCAAGCCCCCTAGAGGCATGGAGCAGGAGGCACAGCTCCCTACTGCCAGCCCAGGACACTGGGCTGTCACTGCCCTGCCTGCCCAGACCTGAATTCTGTGCCACTTGGAACTTCCCCAGAACTAGGGTCAGCTCCTCCCCTGGCCCCAGAGGTCAAGACTGACCCTCATGTCCCCTGCCAGTCTAGCACTACCCCCAGTGCTCCTGCCATTCCAGAGCTGGCACCCAGGGGAGCGTGGAGCTCCCCCTGGCTGTTGTAGGGAGGCAGACCAGGACAGGAGGTGTCCTGGATTAAGCTGCTCCTGTCAGGCTTAGTTTGCTCCCGACCCATAGATGCATGCCTGGGAACATTTTAATGAACCTAAATTTTCGGGACAGACAATTCAGGTGCATTAATTGCACATGTAGAACATGAGGCAGCCAAAGCCCAGGCTGCCTGCTTTAGTTGCCCTCTGCATCCTGCTCCTGCCCACATGGCCAGGACCACATCGGAGGCATGTGGCCCTGCTCCTCAGTTTGATTTGCCATCTCTAGACAGTAGTCAAAGTGTGCCTGGAGTCATTGGAGATGTGGGGGGAGGCCAGGGATCAGGGAAAGTCTGGGACTTGGAGAAGGGGGGAGGGGAAAAAGAAAATTGGCCTAAGGGAGCAAAGCCAGGCTTTCTGGGCCCAGATGATCCAGACAGTGGCTACTCCTGGCTCAGTGTGTGTGCCACCTACCTGCTCAGAGTGCCGGCAGGCTGCCTGCCTGCCCAGACCACCATTTCTTCCACCCCCTACAATTTGCTTCCTTAGGCAGCTGTTTGTTCTGCCTGTATGACTACATTGGCCACCAATGGGTTTTCCTATTCCTTGCTGCCTTTTGATTTCATCTTAAGGATAAGATGACCATGCATTACTAAAGTAAATGCATTTAATGGATTTTCAGGGACTTGAAAGGGGTGGAATAGAGTCTACTTTATATTCTCAATAGGTGGAATAGAATTGGCCCTTAGAGCACAAACTGCATTCTGACTGGTGTCTATTTTCCAATGATGAAACAGTAAGTGCTTGTGCAAACTTACTGTTTGATTGTGCAAACTTTCTTCAGTTATTTAGTGTGAAATACTCTTTGAGAATGTTTGTGGAAGTTAACTAAGACTATTTGGAATTACACCCAACTTCCTTAATTAATGTTGAATACCAATACTCTGGTCAATTTTGTTCTTGGAAAGTTGTATCTTTCAGGGTGTTGTGCTTACGTACTATTGTGAGTTGGCTGCCAGGCCCACACCAGGGTCATTTGGCATAAGGTGAGGAAGATAGTGTTGTCTGCCTTTTGATGGTTCAGTTGCAGACATACTGTTAGAAACTGTATGCTGTTTATGTGAACAGTTGCTCAGGTGTGTTTCTAATTCTTCAGGACTTACTCCTAGTCTAGAAGTTATAGGTACATTCAAAGTTATAGGTACAGAAGGAAGGAAAGACCTCTATCCCCGAACTGAGACAAAGGGAGCTTACTTTGTTGAACGGAACCCTGAAATAGAGAGAGCACAAGAGCACACCTGGCTCCTCTCAAGAGAGTCACTATTGGTAAACTAATCACCAATTTAACTAGCATTCAAATCAAGCAATGGAAATGCAAAATTACAATCATACCTGGGAGGATGGTTGTTGGTTCTTTCAGCAGCTCTTGTTTGGTTCTTTCAACAGCTCCGGTCCATGATTCCTCTCTTCCTCCAGGTTTACAATCATATATATACAATTATTAATGACCTGCATCTATCTGTAACCTCATTGTGTATATGTTAATGAAAAACATTGATCATAAAGACTACCTCCCCAGCTAAGTAAAGAATTTCTGATAAATACTTAGCAACTGTTTAACTGGAATGCCCTCAGATGTTATCAGTTACATTCTGACTCTTGACAATGAGTGCTTTTCCTCATGGTAATGGGTTTCAATTGCTTTGTTTGTGTGACTATAGCCAAACACTTAAGTCAATGCTTTCTTGTTTACATCAACAACAATTTGGAATCTGGCCTTGCAAACATGTCTCTACACAAGGTAACCCAAAGTTCATTCCACCTTCATATAAGGGAGGATATATTCAAGATGGAGGCTGTGGAGAAATCATGCCCCCCCACTCCAGTGTGCCTCACTGCTGTAAGCAGGCAGCCCCTCCCCGCATCTGTTTTATATACCACTGAGCTGTGACCTGGGCTGGAGGCATTCCTGAGGCAGAAGGGAACTCACTTTCCCCTGTGTCCTGTGTAACCCTAAACCCTCACCTGAGGTTGGTGATGTTTTTCAAACTGACCAACTGGCATCAGCCGTGGTCTGAGGATAGTGGTTTGTGTTGGGAACTTAGTAGTGAGGTCATGATGACAGGAACATATAAGGTCCCTTCTTCCTGGAAGGAGGGGAGACATGTTTGGGGGACACAGCCAGCTAGCCATGCAGCCTCTAAAGCAGGCTCAATCAGCCCCTGGATGGAATTGTGAGTAACTTACCTGAAATGTAGCAGGGAATTTAGAATCTAGTGTTTTAGTCATGTGTCAAAAGGCTACCAAGCCATTTCTGTTTGTGCTGGGATTTTCTTTTGATTCTTCTCTGATTTGTACCTATCCCCAAGCCTGCCCTCTCTACCCAATAAACCTATCCGTTAGCCTGCCTTGTAGTGCATGCTTGAGAGCGTTTGGGCATGCTTTTTTGCTCCCTTTTGCTTGGCTGACTAAGAGAGGATACTTTCTATGCTTCAGGCTACTAGAAGCACTCCAAGAACATAAAGCCTATAGGGCCTATGTATCCCGGGCAGCACAGGACCCAGATAAAGACCTGAGTCTGGGTGGTGGCTGCAGTACCCCAGGCTTGCAGGTGTGATCCAGGAAGAGGGTTGGCCAGAAGTTGGTGCCTCTGGGGAAGCATCCAAAGCCTGGTTTTTGGTGGGGTGCGGCAAGGCAGGTATCTCAGCGCAGGAGCGCCCCTACTGGCCTGCCACACAGGCACTTATGCTTTACGTTTACTTTAATAAGGATAGAAAAATCTATTTCTGTGTCAAGGAAAACAGAAATGGCCTGTCACTAAACTTAATCATCTGAATTATTTTCTAGACACATTATGATGAAGTCTCAAAAGATTTTGAGGCTATAAAATCTTCTTGGACATGATTCTTTTGTTGATCTAGCATTTTCAAATCAGTTGTTTGACATTCTTCTTTGTAATACAGATGTTACGTATTCAAGTTTCCTGTTAGTTTATATGAACTTGCTTTGCACATATGACAAATTATTTTTCTCTTTGTAGGTGTGGAAAGCAAGGATGGTCTTGTAGGTACTTCAAAACTGCCACAAACAGTGGAATCCAAAGCACTGACTACAAAGGCCACCCTAGAAAAGAAAAGGTCAGGCATATTAAGTTCAGTTGAATTAAAAATTAACTATTATATACTGGTAAACAATATTTTATTGCAGATTGGATAATTACATGCTGGCAAAAAAAAAATCAAATCCTATTATAGTGTCCTATGCTGGCCCAACTTCATAAACCCAAAAATTTGTGCAGAATACTCATGGGTGTTTGCCAGATGTGTAATCCAACAAGTTAGATGAAATCTGAGGATTCACAGCTTTGTTTAAGAAAAAAAAGACCTGAACTTTGTGTCTCAGCTATAATAAATTTGGTCTTTTGTTCATTCTTTCTGCATAGTGATTTAGCCAACAACATATTATTCCACAATCACCAACCCAAATTACCCTTTCTTGGAATTATTACCATTCCTTGAAATACTTGTTCATATGCACATTCCATTGTGGGTTCACATGTGCCTCCTGCTCTCAAGCTCAAAGACTTTTTTGGATTAACAGTAACTGTATATCATGTAAGTATGCTGGGTCTCCTTAAACAACACACTGATGGTAAAAACAGCAGCGGCATCCCTCCTGTTCCTTGGCTAGTCTCAACCACCTTTGGCTCAAGACAAAACTTTTGCCATTCTTGAAGATTAGTTTTGGCCTTGCAGCCACTTCTGTGCATTCAGTTTTTTCTTAGTTTTTAAATATATTTGCAAAGAGAGAGAGGGAGGTCAAAGGGCTTTAAACTAGGTTCGTTAGGGGATGGGGATGCAGAAGACAGAGAGAACCTAGGAACAATGAACCACAAATCACGCACTGGAAAAGTCCACATAAGTACTGTGGGGCCCGACAGACATCAGGACAGGGGGATATCAAGGGCACCCACTGTGGGGGCTTAAGTGTCTCTATACTAATGCTAGGAGCATGAGGAACAGGCAGGAACTCACAGTCCTGCTTGCAAACAAAGACCTTGACCTGGTTGTTTTTACTGAAACCTGGTGGGACCCTACCCACGATTGGCCAATAGGCATTGAGGGCTATAGGCTGTACAGACATGATAGAGTGGGAAAAACCGGGGTGGGGGGTGTTCCTCTCTATGTTAAGGAGCAACACCCATCTTCAGTGATCAAGATGGGATCAGAAGAAGGGCAAATTGAGGTACTGTAGGTCAGAATACAAGGGGGTTGGGGTGAAAGGGACTTGGTAGTAGGAGTCTATTACAAGCCACCACACCAGGAGGATGAGCTAGGCCTGGAATTCTCAAAGCAGCTCTCTTAGGCAGTTCACTCAAGGGATATGGTTGTCATGGGTGACCTTACTACCCAGACATCTGCTGGGAGGAGCTGTCAGCTAGATCAAACCATTCATGTAGATTCCTAACTTGCATACAGGACCCTAATCTAATGCAGGAAGTATATGTTCCCACTAGAGGAAATGCCTTACTGGATTTGGTGTTTGCTACAGGGGATGACTTGGTGGGGGATTTGCAGATATAGGGCAACCTAGGAGATAGTGACCACCAATTATTAGAATTCACTATCCATCGTAAGGTGGCAAAGATAAACAGAAGTGCTAGACTTCAGAAAGACTAACTTAAATGAGCTCAGGAGATTAGTAAGCAAGGCGCTGAAGCACAAGAGCCTAGGGGAGATGGGAGTCCAGGAAAGGTTCTCGTTCCTCAAGGAAATGGTCCTTCAGGCACAGAAGGGGACAATCCCATTGTGCATAAAGTGGGGCAAAGGAGCCATGAAATCCCCTTGGCTAAACAGGGAAATCCTGGAAAGCCTAGAGATGAAAAAGTAGGCATACAGACTGTGGAAGCAGGGGGTTGCCACCAAGGAGGAATATACCTACTTGGCTCACACTTGCAGGGAGTCAGTTAGAAAGGCCAAGGCAACAATGACTCTCAGGCTGGCAACAAATGTTAAAAACAACAAAAAGTCCTTTTTCAGGGATATGGGGAGCAAAAAAAGGTGCATGGTAACATAGGACCCCTACTGGACACACTGGGATAATTAGTGATGGATAGGAGGGACAAGGCTGAGCTCTTCAATGAGTTTTTTGCATCAGTATTCCTGAGCATGGACAAAGAATTTGATCATATTCAAATTTGACCATAGACAGGCACAACAGAGACATCAGCCCACCAACAGTTAGCGCCGACGTAGTGAAGGGACACTTGGAGGGGCTTGATGTGTTCAGGTCAGCAGGCCCAGATAATCTTCACCAAAGGGTTCTGAAAGAATTATCCAGTGTCATAGCAGAATCACTGGCAAGACTGTTTGAGTACTTATGGTGTGAGTTTGCGGCGTGGCAGTCTCGCCCTTGCCACCCCATTC